AAAAAAAAAAAAGACTAGAGCAAACTATAATGTTCATTGTACTATGGGTATTTACAAATGAATTGCTCAACCTATGAGAAATTAAACAGTTTTTATATTTGAGAACACTGTATGAAACATTTTACAAAATATTTCAATGTTAAAAAGATACTTAAAAATACAGGTAAAAGAAACCAACTGGAATTCATGCATACACCTTGGGCCAGTCTATGAAGGTATTTGCCATATACCTCAAACATTAGACTGTACACCTCATGAAAAATGAATAGTGGTACTGTATAAATTATCTCTTAAACTGATAAAAACACTGAGTTATAATTTAATAAATTCCACTTTTTACAAACCTGACATACTTCTCATGAATTTTCTTCATGCCATTATTTCAGCTTTTTAGGTAAAAACAATAATGATGGCCAGACATGGTGGTGCATGCCTGTAATCCCAGCATTTTGGAGGCTAAGGAAGGAAGACTGCTATGAGTCGGTGTCCCACCTAGACCAAATAATGAGTTCAAGGCCAGTCTGAACTACACAATGAAACCCTATCTTAAAAAATATGGATACCAAAGATAGAATGACATCACAGCATCAGGTAAAAAAGGCATTTGCCTCATTACATTCAAGAGCAATTATTTTCCCCTAAACAACAACTTAAAAGTGTTGCTACCGATAAATCATTCAATTATTTATAATTTTGGAGAGGTGACTCTAATTCATGATATCCTCCTGGAAACAAATTATGGTTCTATTTGTCTACTGCAAACAGAAACCCACAGCAATTTGGGTTACTTTTTGCACATATGGTGGAAAAATTACCACCAAACTAAAAGTCATTGAAATATAAATAAGAAAAGGACAATTTTGATGGTATGAAAACAAAATTTTATTTATACTATTAGCCCTAGTATGAAATAGGTAAAATTATGTACATGATATAATATATAATGTTGGAATATAAGCAGGTGTCTTGTCATATGAGAAACAGAACTTGTTACTCTACAATTCTTCTCGTCCAAAAAAACCCTTCCCTAAAAAAAATAAAAATAAAAAATCTACAGGTTCTGTGAAAACATACAAACTTTGTCAAAAACACATTCACATGTCTCTTAAAATATGTATCTTAAAATAAAACATGGCATCAAATTCAAAAATATCTTTTGTTACACAGAATAGAGAATACACACCAAAAATTTAAAATAAAGGCAGTGGTAAAATCTTAACTTTAAAAAAATGTCAATCAACTATACTTTTTTAGTGACCTACACTACCCAATTATAAAGACACAACCAAGACTCAATATTAATTCTATCTCAAAACAAAAAATTCATTTCAGTTCACCATACTTCAGACACTATGTATGAAGGTCAAAGACACATATAAATAATTCTCAACTCAATATTTTTATATTTAACACTATACATAATTTATATGATTTACTGAAAGATACATAATGAATATACATTATATTTCTGTCTACAATTGTATTTCCTGGATATTTTATGGAGAACCACTGACATCAAGCTTTTAATTATTCCTACAGGTCTGCACTACATAAGAATTTTTCACAGGATTTTCAAATTATACATGTTTCTCCCCACTGAGACTTATTTAACAATATATGTAATTCCCATAGTGCTTACAAACATATGGCTTCTTTCCATTCTGAGTTCGTCTTTGGCAAACTGCTTTCATACATAAAACTAATGTCAAGTGTGAGTTTTTTCATGTCTTTTATAATCACCAGCTGTACTAAAAGCTTTCCTACATTGCTTACATTCATAGGGTTTCTCCCCAGTATGAGTTCTTTCATGTCTTTGACAAGCACCATGTGCACTGAAAGCTTTTCCACATTGTGTACAAACATAGGGCTTCTCTCCAGTGTGAGTTCTTTCATGTCGTTGACAATCACTGTACGTGCTGAAGGCTTTCCCACATTGCTTGCATATGTAGGGTTTCTCCCCAGTGTGAGTTCTTTCATGTATTTGACAGTAAGTGTGTCTGCTGAAAGCTTTTCCACACTGCTTACATACATAGGGTTTCTCCCCAGTGTGAGTTCTTTCATGTATTTTACAATTATCATGTTTACTGAAAGCTTTCCCACATTGCTTACATATGTAAGGTTTCTCCCCTGTATGTGTTTTTTCATGTATTTTACAATAACCTTGTGTACTAAAAGCTTTCCCACATTGCTTACATAAATATGGTTTCTCTCCAGTATGAGTACTTTCATGTCTTTGACAAGCACCACGCATGCTGAAAGCTTTCCCACATTGTTTACATACATAGGGCTTCTCCCCAGTATGAGTTCTTTCATGTATTTGACAAGCACCACGCATAATGAAAGCTTTTCCACACTGTTTACATACATAGGGCTTCTCCCCAGTGTGAATTCTTTCATGTATTTTACAAGTATCATGCTTGCTGAAAGCTTTTCCACATTGCTTACATATGTAAGGTCTCTCCCCAGTGTGAATTCTTTCATGTATTTTACAATAACCTTGTGTACTAAAAGCTTTCCCACATTGTCTACATACATATGGTTTCTCCCCAGTGTGAGTTCTTTCGTGTTTTTTATGATAACTCTGTGTACTGAATGCTTTACCACATTGCTTACACACATAGGGCTTCTCCCCAATGTGAATTCTTTCATGTATTCTACAATGACCTTGTGTACTAAAAGCTTTTCCACACTGCTTACAGACATAGGGTCTCTCCCCAGTATGAGTTCTTTCATGTATTTTACAATAACTTCGTGTACTAAAAGCTTTTCCACACTGCATACATACATAGGGTCTCTCCCCAGTATGTATTCTTTCATGTATTTTACAAATGTGATGTTTACTAAAAGCTTTTCCACATTGCTTACACATATAAGGTCTCTCCCCAGTGTGAGTTCTTTCATGTATCTTACAATAACTTTGTGTACTAAAAGCTTTCCCACATTGCTTACATACATAAGGTTTCTCCCCAGTGTGAGTTCTTTCATGTTTTTGACAATAACTTTGTGTCCTAAAAGCTTTCCCACATTGCTTACATACGTAGGGTTTCTCCCCAATATGAATTTTTTCATGTATTTTACAATGACTTTGTGTACTAAAAGCTTTCCCACATTGCTTACATACACAGGGTTTCTCCCCAGAGTGAGTACTTTCATGTATTTTATGATAACGTTTTGTGCTAAAAGCTTTCCCACATTGCTTACATACAAAAGGTTTCCCTCTATTGTGATTTCTTTCATGGATATGAACATCATCAGGTGTGTTGGAGGTTTTCAAGTTTTCCTTAAACACAAAGGCTTTTTCTCTAAAGTGAGTCCTATCACTAAGATCAGAGTAGGATTTCCCACACTGATTATATTCATAGGGTTTCTCTCCATTATTTGTCCTTCTACTCTTCTGAAAGGACTGGAAATCACTGCAGAATCTTACATGTTCATTACACTTATACAGCTTCTCTTCTAATCCCCAATATTCAGATGTCTTCAGTGTTGTGTTAGCTATGGTGCACATATTTATTGACAAAGGCCCAATCAGGGGATTTCCACAAACATCTGGAGTCCAAAGTAATATTTCTTCATATTGACTCCATCCTTTATTTTGATAGCATTTTTTAACCTCTTTATTTCTGTAAAAAGAAACAAAAGACTAAACACCAGTTTCAATAAAATAGGTCGTAATATTAGCACAAGCTCTGTTTTGATGCCTCCTAAGAAATTCTGACAATGCAGTAACAGAAGGTCCTGGAGGACACCATCAAAACAGCCATTCTCAAGAGTGGTATTAATTTAGGGATTTCTAAATTAGTATATTTTGCAATAGAGAAAGCTTAGTTTCATTCTGAGCAACTGAAATGAAACTGGTACATGTGTATAGCACATACTGATCATTTTGGTACCTTTTCCCTCTTCATTCTCCCTCCTCTTGTAACCCTGTTTGTCCACCCATCACAAAAAGCCAGGCTTTACTTTTTAAATTGCCTCTCCTTTATTCTACTCCCTGTATTCTATATCTGATTTATTTCACTTACTACAGGATGGATACCCACCCATTTATTTTGTCAAAGGACATGTCATTCATATCCACTGTTAATTATGTAGCACTTTTTTTTTCTTTTCAATAGTGGGAATTAAATGTAGATCTTAGTGCTGAATTACATCTCCATCTTTTTTTTTTTTTTTTTTTTTTTTTGCGGAACTGGGGATTGAACTCAGGCACTTGCGCTTGCCAGGGAAGCGCTTATTCCACTGAGCCATCTCTCCAGCCATCTTTTTCATTTTGAAAGAGACTCTCATTGATGATTGAGTTGCTCAGGCTGAGCTTTACCTTGCCATTCTGTTGAGTCAGCGTCCCAGAGTGCTGGGAATAGAAAAAACTCAGGCTGAACGTATCAAAAATGTTCTTTTTTTTTAAATGATGGGAAAGTTTTATTTATTTATTTTTCATCAAAAATGTTCTTTATCCATTCAACCAATGAAAATTCAAGGGCTTAGCTGTTATATATTGTCCAGCTTTGAGTATGTGTATACATGTATCGGTATAATATGGTAATCTGAACTCTTTTGAGACTATACACAGGAGAGGTATTCCTGGATCAAACAGAACTTCTAGTTTTATTTTTTGAGACATCTTTATACTGATTATCATACTGGCTATTAAGATTCCTACCCACAATGATGGATGGTTGGCTCCTGAACATTTTGAAACTTGAATAAACTCAATTATCTCGAGGTGGCTTAAAAACACTTGTTATTACATTAGCATTCATATGTACTTTGAATATTGTTTCAAGGTTAGCAATATTTTTAGATACTAAATGTCTCATATTCACATAAATATACAGATAGATATGAAGAACATGAATTTCAACATTCATTTCTTTTCACATATACCTATACACAATACTAAATGCAGGGCTGGGGATATAGCTCAGCGGCATAAGTGCCTACCTGGCACATGCAAGGTCTTGAGTTCGATCCCTGGTACTGCCAAAAAAAAAAAAAAATGCTAAGTACAATTTACATTTTTATGATATGATCATGAAAGGACTTTTTTATATATCAGTTTCACTTCACATATTGGAATATTTCTGTTTGTAGTTGGCAGATTATACATGCTAAAGCCATATACATCTTGGGAGAATATTTATGAGGTAAACTGGAACACGGCTGTTTCCTTGGTTGTGATATTCCTGTTCACTTACTGAATCTTGAGGAATGTTCCTTTTCCTTTTGAGTGTGAATTACCTTAGATTTCTCCAGAAACTTTTGTATTGTTCTTCAACTTCCTGGTTATCCCAGGCTTTTCCTGAATTACAGACATAGAAATATAAGGAGACACTGTATTATTACATAAAATGAATAGATTCCTGTAAGATTCACATTATAATGTAATCAGGCCTGAGATATTCTTAAAAATGTTTTCAAATTGCTTAATGAAACTACACTGCTGATGTCATCCTTACCTATAGCAGCTATGTTCCTAAAAGTTTCCCTCATCACATCTCTGTAGAGCTTCTTTTGGGATGGATCCAGCAAAGCCCACTCCTCCAAGGTGAAGTTCACAGCCACATCCTCAAAGGTCACCACTTCCTAAAGGATCACACACATTTTTCTTGAAGGACGGTTAAGACTCACAGCCTGAGATATCTCAACTCCTTTCATAAAAAATTGAATTGAAAGCTAGCTCTGGTGATCAATGTCTGAAATCCCAGCACTCAGGAGGCTAAGACAGGAGGAATGCTATGAGTTTGAGGTTAATGCAAGCTACACACTGACCTCAAGGTCAAACTGAACTGCCCAGCGAGATTTCATCTCAATTAAAAAAAAAAAACCAAACTGAATGGGGTTGACTTCTTCAAATATTAACTGTAATCAAATGCAAGTGCATGCATATTTTTTCAGATAGCAATTCTGATGTTAGACTGCCACTCTTTGCTAAAGGAACAGCAAAACAGGAGTACTGGTTCTTCTGCTGAGTCATGGCAAGGGCTCCTGAGAATTGTCTCTAATGCACAGCTCATACAAGGGGCCTACAAGATCACCATACACACAACACTGGGGTAAATGAATATCTAATGAATAGTTTTGATAGACCATGATAATATCTCTTTTTAAATCTTACTATTTATAGATTGACTTACTTTTCTTTGATTGTACTTAGGCAGCATTCTAAGTTTAAATGTTAGTGGAAAAAGTTTTATTGGAACAAATCTATGAACAATAAAAATAGGGAAAGGATGGCATTTTATCCTATAGCTTAGCGTCACCTTGTACTTAGATATGAGAAATTCTAGGGGGATAGGGGAAACAGATAAATAAAATGTATTATATACATTGAAAACCAGTATGTCACAAAGTCATTGGGCACAAAAGGAAAATTTTAACCAGATACAGTAATGCATGTCTATAAGCCTAGGACTAGGGAAGCTTATACAGGAGGACTGCTATAGAGTTTGAGGCCAGCCTTGGCTACACAGTGAAGTTAAGGCCAGTCTGAAACAAAGTGAGACCTTTGCTTTTTTATCCCCCCAAAAAAGGACAATTTTAAAAAAAGTCATTTATGAATGATACCTCTGATCTGATAAAAATTGATAGCTTTATAGTAAAATCTAACATTCAATACCTTTTAAGGAAGGCTGAGAGCTTATATAATTTTTATCTATCTATTTATTTATTTATTCTGTACCAGTGATTTAACTCAGGAGAACTTACAGATTTTATTTTTTTTTAAATGAAATTTTCTATTTTTTTTCTTTTCAAAGTTTTATTGATAAACATATAGCAATGAGACAGTTTCAAATCAAATCGAAAGTACAGTTTCAACAAATAATACACTGCATA